ATTTGGGAACTGGAATATTTTATGGAAAAGTGAACAATCTTTGAAAACTATTAACATTTTGAAATTTCTCAACATTTCTTAAAAAACTAAAATACATTTAAATATAAAAAGAAAAATGAAACAAACTAAAAAGGAAAGAAAAGGAAAAGAAAAAAGAAACAGGAAAAAGGAAAAGGAAAGAAAAAAGAATAAGAGAAAAGGAGGAGAAAGAGAAAAAAGAAACAGAAAAAAAATGAAAAATGGTTCAGGAACCTTCTAGAAGGTAAAAACCAGCCTGGAACGTCAAGAAGGTTCCCAAAACTGGAAACAGAAAGCCTTGAGTACTGGGCCGACCCACTTCTTGAGCATTGCGTGTGCGTTGTTTCGACAATTTGCCGCATCAAGGGGCAAAGCTCTAGCTAATAATAAAGGGAGCAGTGCTTCTTGCTGTCCCTCTGGAATTTTGTAGAAACCCCCCACTTTCCTGAAATCAACCCGTAGCCTCGTCTTAAGTAAGAAAATAAAAATTGTTCGTGTTTTGCAAAATCCCTAGGTTTCAGTTTCGATTAATCAACCCGCGGTCCTATTTTAAGTGAGAATAAAAAATGTTCCATTTTATGCATAAAACTCCCTGAGGTTTTGGTTAATAAACCCGCCGTCCATCTAGAAAATAACATTTTCTTTACATACTCAAATGTTTTGTTTAATATTCATATCTTTTAAACCGTAATTTTAATTTTTAATATATTGTACATGAAAATTGATTAGAAAAATATGCAGAATCTGAATATAATGTTCTTTTTACCTGTTAACCATTTTAAAATTTTGTTTAGGGACAGATTCAAATGTTTAAAAAAATATTCATATCTTTTGAACCCTAACATATTATATATGAAAAATGATTAGGAAAATATGATGTTGTTTCACCTGTTGATAATTTTTTAAATGTTGTTTAGGATACAACCTTAATCAGTACTGCACGACCCATCTTTCTTTCATACCGATGTCGAGCCAGATTGAAAATGAACATCTCCGTAAAAACAAATTGGAGACGGAAAAACGATCTATAACCATGCATGTCTGTCGGCGAGGATGGGAAGAAGGATAAATGACAACTTTGATAAGATGCCATATTGAAATAAAGGAGGTGGATCTATTTGGATCTTGAGCCATGGTTACTGTGTTAGAGGCGCATGATATATATTTTTTCTTTCGTTGCAACGCACGGACTCTTTTGCTAGTAGGAAAAATTACGCCAAATAGGGATCGCCCAAAGCGGTAGCCTACCTGGGGTCGGCCCATTAGAGCATACCTATGGTGTGTGGTTTTTCCCTTTCTTTTTGTTGTTTACCCACTGCATATGATTTTAAGAGGGACTGAATTAAAATATGTTTGCAGATTAAAATAACATTCAGTGTTTTTTGAAAATAGTTTAACAATGTTTACAAATTGAATTCTTTAATGTGAATTCAAAACGAAGTTACAAATTTGAAAATTATTCATGAATTTTAATAAAGTTAACAGACTAGATGGAAGTTTTGTAATTTTGAAAAATGTTTGAGAATTTTAAAAATGATAAGGAATAAAAAACTGTTCACAAATTCAAAAAAAAAGTTCATGACTTTGAGAAAATGTTCACGATTTTTAAAATATATTCAAGAATACAAAAAATGTTAGTGAATTTGGTAAAAAAATATCCGTGAATTCAAAAAATGTTGGTGGATTTGAAAACAGTATAAAATTCAAAAAATAATCACGAATGTAGAAAATTAGTAAAAAGTAACTGGACCCTCATATATACAGTAGCAGCACATGTTTACTAGCCCGCGTGTGCTGCTACTACTTTGTTAGTTGTAGCGCGGGTTTGTTATCCAATGTTGTTACTATTGCTAGCCAAGGGGTGTACTGGGGACCATTTGGCAGTATTGTTGGTTGACAGACACCGCGCTACTGCTAAACCCTACCTGCAGCACGTACTTCTAGGCTGTGCTACTGCTAAGTAACCGTAGCGCCGGCTACCAAACCAAACCCTCGCATCTACTATTGATCTACCTATATGCTTTTTCTTAGTAGTGTGCGTCCATAAAAACTTTTGCCATGCCTTGTCCACATCTTTGAAGAATTTTGTGGGTGCGCGCAACACCGTGATCGTGAACGCGGGGAGCGTCGAGAGCACGCACCCGACGAGCACTCACGGCCCGAGAACGGCATGAGGTGGCTAACCAAGCCCTGATTCCTGTCTAAATGTATTGGAGGTGCAACAAACTGATCCTCCCGAGCGTGACCGGCATCCCTAGGTATGTAATAGGGTATCTGACGACCTGCCCGCCGAAGCCTTGCAGGATGTGCATGAGATCCACCTCCACACAACGGATCGGCGTGACCGACGAATTGACTTGGTTCAGATGGAGCCCCGAGGCACCACCAAGTCCTAAACCTTGCAGCAGCTCAACAAGCCTGACCACCTCCTCCCGAACTGGATTGATGAAAACAACCGCGTCATATAAGCTGACGCATAGCCGAGCGGCGCCTGCCGGAAAGGGGTGCAGCTCTCCTGAGCGCGTGGCCGTGTCGAGCAACCAGTGCAACAGATCAATTGCGAGGATGAACAAGAGCTTATAAAGCGGATCGCCTCGCCGCAAGCCTCTCCTATGATGAATGATCGCACCCTCGATGCCACTAAACAGGCAGGACGACGTCGATGAAGACAGTAGCAGTGCAATCGAGTCTCTCCATCGCGCGTCGGGAACCCCATCCATTGCATGAGCTCGAGCAAATACTCCCGTGAAACATTATCGAATGTCTTGGCAATATCCAATTTGATCAGCAGGGCCGGCTTGTTTTTCCTCTGTAGCAGTTTGACAATGTTCTGCACATATAAGTAAGAGTAGATATTGTTATGCCAGTGATTCCCGCAAATAAACAAAGCAATAGTGCAATACTGGATGCGACAAAGGGCATTTCCATGAGCATCTCGAGGAAGCAAACACCTAGTGTTCCAAACTCCCCCTTTGTCACTGAGTTTGATTAGATACCGGTATTTGCAGCTCACATATGCTTTGCGCTAGGTACCTGTCATCTAGCACTAGTATATAGGAGTAGCTGTCTCCAAAGAATATTTGTATGCAAATCAAGTCAGAGTACCACCACCGTCATTAGTCCACAGTGTCGTACTACTAATTAGCAACGAAGTAGTACAAACCAAATGGTTGTTTTGGTAGACAAACACACACCACCCTCCCATCTGGAAAACTTGGGAAAGGGCACAACTTCTTCAATGGTATCAATTAAACACTTTGTAAGGGACCTAATAATTAAGTTATCTAACTAATGTCCATGATGGACCCGATGACCTTCTCTTTCTCAACTCCTCTCCCCCTGTCCTCTCAGGATGCACCTCCGCTCCGTTCCCTCTAACCTCAACTGCGGCTCCCTCCCTTCCTCCCCTCCTCATCCGTGCTGCGGGCGCAAGCGGTTTTGGGCGCTGAGCAGGGTGAGCGACTCCGATGACGAGGAAGTCGAGCCTTCGAGGGAGCTAATCTATAGAGCTCTTGTGCACAATTAGTTGGCAAGTCAAGCATGGTGTCTCCAAGCGTTACATGGCTAGTTGGAATTGTGGTTCTGGCTAGCGCCGCACATTTGCTCCCGTGGGCCACACAATAGTCTTCTCCGGTGGTGAGGGTGGCGGCGACTTACCTTGGAATCTAGTCATGGCCAGATCTAAGCGATCGTCGGGTTTTTTTTTG